AAGAAAGTCAAAGGCCAGAATGACCCAACATATTAAATTTCTCATTGCATGTTGACTGGCCTCTTGAGGGGTGCAAATCATTATGAGTACTGAAGAGAATGATAAAGGTGAGGTTTGCACATGAGCCAAGTGCCCCATTGGGGCAGGGGCTATGCCTAGTTCAATTCATACTTTTATAATCTTTTGGCTCGGACACCCCATTTAAATCTGCCCCCTCTGGCCCAGTGGTGTGTGTTTTCTTATTGTCAAGTGCAGTTACTAACCATAAGGCCTTTTGCCTTCCACTTTGAGTAGGCCTTGAAATTGAACTGCTTTCTTCCTTGCAAGTTACTAATAGTATAAGTGAAAGTCAAGTGCCTTACTGTAGCAGCTTTCCATATTTACTGACCCCTACTACTGTGCTTAGTACCCTATCCTCTCTGATTCTCATATGGGTAAAACACCTGTCTGGACTGCAGGCTTGACAGATCACCCCCTTCCCCTACTGGGGCCTCCTCCACCTCTTTATATGCCACTCCCGCCTTTTTGTTCCAGCACTCGGTGGTGCTTAACAGGTCTTCTCAAGGAATGGATTAATTACAAACACTTACATAACTCGAATCTTCAAGTGTCTTGTTAACTGACTTCACGCCAAGTAGCCCAGAGAAATATTGAGCATCATGTCAAAAGTTCAATTTACAATTCTACAATTTTCTGAATTAAATTAATTACCCTACGTTCCAAGAGGTCTCGCTGCAGGGTAAAATTCTAACTACCTGAAGTTAACACTGTTATAAAAGTGTTATCAGACTGTTAGTTATAAAAAAATAAAATTTATGCAATATGTCAGTGTCAAATTTAACAAACAATTTATGTATGCTATATCAATTTTTACTATAGATGATATACACTGTATTAATGATTGTTGCAGGGAATGTTTAGGGAAATGGCAAGTTGGTCTATGGGAGGCGTGGTGGCCTAATGGCTAGTGCGCTGGACTCTGGATCGAGCTATCCGGGTTAAAGCCTCGACCGGGGCACTGCGTTGTGTTCTTAGGCAAGACACATTACTTTCATAGTGCCTCTCTCCACCCAGGTATATAAATAGGTACTGATGAATTTACTGCTGGGAAGTAACCTGAGATGGACTAGAATCCCACCCAGGGGAGTAGCAAAACTCTCAGCCGCTTAATGCTACAGAAACCGGAGTTAAGTGCTGGAGCTATGGGCCAGTTAGGCTATTTACGCAAGTTGGCCTTACAAGAACACTTTGTGAGATGGGGATGAAGTATAGAGGGGGAGTAAATACTATTTCTGGCAACCAGTCTGAATGACAGGTGTCTCAAAATTAAGTTTCTAGGACTTAATATAGGTGTTAAATGAAGGCGCAATAATGCAAATGGGCAATTACCCCTGTGAGAACGGCCCGTGGGGGATCATGGTAGTTATCTTCATTGCTCCAAATTCTTTGATGAAAACAACTTTTATCATGATTGTCTGCACTCTCAGAGGTAATTAGCCACTGATAATGACTGATGAAGTTATTATATCATTTTGCTTGCTTTATAACACTTTCTTCCTATTAAACTTAAAAGTTATGCTAATGAAATGATTTTTAACGTATAAATATACTACCAAGTACTTCTGAAAGCAGGAAAATAAAACTCAAAGTATATTTATGGTTTTTGTATAATAGCATAACTAAGCTTAAAGGTAACTGAAGAGTAAAAACAGATTGGAAACATAGTAGCTGCTTCATTCTTTCTCACATTATTAATGGAAATTCAAGACATGATCCTTTTTCATTTGTAGATAAAGAAAATTGCTTGAGACTTATGGCTCTGTCAATTTCAATGAGCACCCCCCAGGAATTTGGGTTTTAGACGGGTTTTAGACAAGTTGTAGGTCCCCACCAAGACGCATTTGCTCATAACGGGCTGTCTGGGGTGGGGCATTTGACAATTCACTCATAAACAAAGAATTATACATAGTTACTTTTTTAAAACACAAACCTGCTTTATTAATCATCAAAAAGATTAGCCCTAAATAAACAATGCAGATAACTTTTTAACCCATTGGAAAATAAACATGGCCCACCACCACCCACATAAATTCACATTCCACATGAAAGAAAATAAACACAAAAAAGCCATGGCACAGTAGGGTACAACATTGATGATTTTCGGGGGCCGAAATAATTTAGATATTGTGGTTTGGTGGCCGCAAGAAAAGAGCCTAGAAGGTTTCATCAAAATCTTCGAAGGTAAGTTCATTTTAAATTCATATTATAAATACGTATGATATCATAGTTTTGTTTGTAAATATATGAGCTTTGAGTTTACAGTGCAAGCATATGGTCTTCGTTTGGATCAATTTCAATATGCTTTATTCCAAAAAAAAGTTGAGTGCATGAATAACAGTCATAATCAAACTATAACAATAGCCTTCCCAAAGGATATGGAGGAAAAAGATAAACGACAACCTCCCTACTGACCAAAGGGTGGGGGAGGGTGGGTACAAATACAATGTAACAGCATAAACTTGTACATAACATCCAAACACAAACGACGACTAAAACCCCTGAAATTTGAGAACTTCATGTAAACCATGTGACCCATCCCAGTTAATCTTGGTATAATACATAACTTTTTTTGAGTACCCCAAAATAACACACAAATTCTGTACCGGCTTAAACTCTTCGGGCTTTAGTTCGAATGAAGTATGTTGTGCACCAGTCATTTGAAACCCCTGCAACCCCCCACCCCCCTCAGGCATGAGCAAGACATTCACTTTTAATGCAAGTGAAAGCAAGTGAAGCCAGAGTATCGACCGTGAAGTCCCTGGTCCATGGGAGAAAAATTGAATGGTGAACTCCCCCGCCCGCATATGATCCACACACATGGTACTCCCTTGTAAAAGGAAACTTGTTATAGTCAAGCGTATTATAAACAAGGGATCAAATGAACACGCTGATTTCAGTGCAGCTAGCAATATACTTGTAAAGGCCCCACAATAGACAAGGAACAAGACCACTATTTGAAAAAGATAAGACATGAATCCAGACGGCCCCAAAAAAATTGCATATTAACTTTTAGCTTAATCACAATATCAAATAGGTCGTAGACAATCAAGTCTTCTGAGATAAGAGCTGCAATGAGTCAATCATAATTATGAATGCAATATCATTGAAATCTGCCTACCTTTCATGAACCAACTTTGAAAATTTCTCTTGTTATAATAGCCTTCATTGATACATTTCAAAAAGAAACTTTCCAAAGCATTATAATTTGCCGTATTTCATCATCATCATAATCATAATCATTTATTAGCCATTATTTAAATAAAAGTACAATGATAACAGTTCTATGTAGGTGAGGAGACCTCTAAGAAACCACCAGGCTTATAGGGGAGGTCACCTCGGTTAGCGAAATGTCGCTTCAATAATCGCAGAATGATCTGATCAGTCGAGTGAGTCAATATAATTGGCATTCCCTGCCTAACGGGGGACCAAAATGGAGTGAATGCAATCTGAAGGGAAGGTCTCCCTTTACCCCGCTCATGCCCAAGGAGGGGGGACAGGGAGCTTCAACTGACTGGTGCATTATTTGGTGAACAAACAAATCTGTTTAATCTGTAGTATAAGTTAAAATAACTTACAATGTATTGCAATTGAGGTATGATTTCAGCTTATACATCTATGTAAACTTTCCCGATCTCAAGTACGGGTGACCAAATCTCCCGGACATGTATGAAGCAGGCTGTGCCTGTGTATGAAGAAAGAATTAAATGTTTTACCGACCATTGACCTACGAATTTCTACACTTATTTTCGCCGCTTTTTGAACATCTTTGGACGATATTTAATGCTTTTTTGTGGCTTTTTTGTTGTAGAATCAACGGACCTCTACTTTTCTTAATCCAATAACTTCCTTTTTTCGTGGCTAACACTTCAAGAGTCCTCTCTCTCAACGTCCACATTTACGCCTGTACAAGTGCATAAGACACATAAGACACATCTAAGAAGACTGGAAAAGAAGGCCAAAACAAATTAAAGCAAAACTTGTTCGCATGAAAATGCAAATACCTTCTGAATATTCATCAGTTTCCATCCTGATTTCCATATTGGAAGCCGCCATTTTGGGAGAAAGGTGACCGATCATTTACTAGGTACCAGTGCTACACACGTCGTGTAGATTATATATATCTGATAATTTAGTTCATATTAGCAATTATTGATATCAGATAATTTAGGGGTGGAGGACATGTTGTAGGTCTTCAGGGGCAGTGTACAAGTTCAAATTAGGTCATGGACCAGTATCTGTTCACAAGCCGCTAAATTATTCATGTATAAGAGGTTACCTTTAGGGGCTTGTCGCAGATATTTCTCCTTTTGATACACATTCCTTAAGAGCTGGTGGTGCTTCAGCTGCAGCTAATGCTGGTGTTCCAGACGGACTTTTTCAGAGACATGGACGTTGGAAATCTATATCCGCCGATGGCTACGTCGGCAAAAGTTTGATTTCACGTTTGCCAGTGTCAAAAAAGTTAGGTTTTCATTTTCTACTTTTAACTTCACATTTTCCTTTCTTTTTCTCCATCAGGATGTGTATACTAGAAGATTGACTGAATCATCCTAAATAAATTTTTTACATTGAATGTCTCGTCACAGTGTAGTCACAATTCGAAAAGTGCGGGAACCGGAAACATTCCTACATAAGTGGGCTGCAACTGAGGGTTTGTCATTAAAATACCAATTCTTTACAAATGTAACAAAATTTACAGATATATTTTCTCTATATTTAGAAAGTCGTTTCGTATATTTAAATTGATAGGCTTCAGTAGATTCTGGGCGGTTTGTAAAACAGCAAGTCCCATATCGAGGGTTGTTAGTCCTTTCCATTCTAAATTTTCCCAAGCATCCCTACACCAATCAGAACTTCCGTCTAAAAACTCTATAGCCAATCAATTCTTGTGTTAGTTTTACATCACGGGCGAGGAAGTTTCTTCCCTGTTGGTCGTTTATTTAAGGCGATGATCCTATTTTCGGTTTCGATAAACTCATCTTCGGACATCAAGGACATTTCTAAAATGATTTGTCATTTGAAATTTATCTTTGCATGGATTTTATTTCTACCTCAACTGACAGGTAATGTATTTTACCGGGATTGAGATCGAATATTGTGAGTGTTTATTTTCTCCTTTGGGTACATCTTACAAGGTACTTTATTTTCTTTTGACAGCGGCAGATTGTTGTACCTTTTAGAATGTATACGGTGTTTGAATTGAAATCAAAGGAATAGTATTCTTGTTTGGATGAAATCGAAAATGTGAATTGTTGTCAATTAACGCCGATCTAAATATTCTCCCTCAGATGGCGCAACTGTCACATGGTATGAACCAACTCCGGTACAGACAACATCTAATCCAGCTGAAGCGCTCATCCCTGGCAAGTTAGCAGTCTATGAAGGATCTTCTGCCACGTTGAATTGGAACTACAGTCTGTCGTCAACTTTACTCGTAGTTCATTTACGATTTAAGGGTGTTTTTATAGTTACCGTTTTACCAACTGGACAAGCTGGTCCTGTTAATGCTAGTTTTCGGCAACGGTTCAGCGTAAGCTCGACTCCGCAAAGCGTTTCTCTGTTGATCTCTAAAGTGACTACTGTTGACGATAAGTCAAATGGGGAATTTAGCTGTGAGTTGAATGATTTATCTGGTGCTACATGGAGACGTGCAATTCAGGTGCAAGTCGTAGGTAAGCTCAAAAGTTTCGCTGACTTTTTAGAGATTCTTACCATTAATAACTATAATATAATATTATCCAGCTTTCATCCTTTAGGCCCAGTTAAAGTGTAAGTAGACTTTTGGAAGACAAGAATAATTCTTCATGCTAAATTTTGAACATTCCCTTCAACAAATTTATTTAATGAATTGGATTTTATGTTATTGATTTTGTTTTGCATGACACATTTAATCCGAGTTAGTTTTGAATGGTTCACTGTACTGTTGTGTTTTTTAGTTGTCGAGGTTAGTAATGGGGACTTTGTCAAGTCATATGAGAGAACACTCAAAAGCAAAAATCTTATGGAGCAGACAGATAGCTGTTTGCAAACATTTTTTTCACTCACATTGCAAAATATTTGAAGGATAATAAACACAATAGCCTCTATTTTGCACAAAAACATACTCATGTAGTTGTCCTTGGACATTATCTGTTCCTCAAAACTCACAGTTTTTGTCAGATAATGTCTGTGGACAAAGATTCCTGAATATTTTCATGCCAGATAGAGGCTATTGTTATATATATATATATATATATATATATATATATATATATATTATATATATATATATATATATATATATATATACATACAAAGCAATGGTAAACTGGACTGATCCTTCCAATTTTTTCACACTTAACATGTTGCTGTTTTTTCACAAGGCCAACAGCAATAATAAATAAGTTTCATACTTGTGTACAATCATGTATAACCTTATTAAACTCAGATAAACTGAAAAGAGATCTAGAAATGAATTCTTAACATTCTTGGTACATTTAATTCAAAGAGTTGTTGATCTCTTTATAGTGGAAAACTTGCAATTGTAATAGCAGATGAGTAATCAGAAATATCAAAATTTATTTTTTCTCAGGGGGCACAGTAACAAATCCTACAATCTGATTGGCTCTTAATGCAGTCCATATTTTCTTAACTCTGCCTACAGACACAGTAACCCTTTCATGAGTTGCTGACAACATCCCTAGCTTTGTTGCCACTTTCATAAATAAATTTTGTTTTGATGTCTGGGGAGTATTTTCAAGCAAATTATTTTTAAGCAAATCAAGCTGATTAACAACTCTCTAATCCCCTCTTTTCTCTCTCTCTCTCAAATTTCTCTGGTTGCCAGCAAAAAGTTTTTATTGAAATGAATTTGTGGTAGCATGTCATTAAATGGGTTGACATGCAGCCTATTAAAACAGTTTTTAATAAACTTTAATCCCTTAGAATGAGGAGAAAAAATTATCTTCCCCCAGGGCTTCAACATTCAAAAGGAGTCAGTATGCTAATCAACCCAAAATCAAAGTTTCATTTATCTTCTGTAGAAACAGATCCACATGGGAGGTACATAATTGTCAAACTTCAAATCGAGAGAACAATTTTTTTTTGTCCTTAATCTATTGTTGAACTCATGGAAGAACTTGACTTACTAGATATATACAGGAAATATCATGCAAACACCAGAACATTCACATATGAAACCAAAAATCCAAAGCTAAAATTTAGAATTGAATTTTTCTTCTTATCATGTACAGTCTGAGTGAATGTAAAAAGAGCTGCAGTACCTCTCTAGTGCCAGATCATATAGCAATATTTCTGGGCATATAGTGTTAGGAAGTGAGCTAAAAAGAGGACCCATTACATTGAAATGTAATAATACTCTACTAAATGATGAAACCCATGTAGATCTAATATGATTCCTTTATCCTCAGATACTAGGAAAATACAAAGATGTTGAAAGTAAACAACTTTTGTGGGAGCTAATCATAATGGAAATTTGATCCAAGACTATAAGCTACTCTAAGAGAATAAGAGCTGAGTATAAAAAAATGTGAGGCCGCCCTTTAAAATGATCTTGAAGAACTGGATCACTAAATAGGCAATAATGCAGATCTTGATCTTCATATCCTTTATGAATACAAGGCAGCTAAAAAGGAATTGAATACTATGTAGGAATTCAAAGGTAAGGAGGCCATCTTAGGTCTAAATCTAGGAGGATAGAACAAGGTGAAAACTGACAAAATACTTCCTTAATTTAGAAAAGAAAAACTATGCAATGAAGACATTGCTTCAACTTAAACCAGACAACGGTGAAATCACTTCAGATTGGAAAAAGATAAATTAGCAAATAGATACCTTTTGCAGTGAAATGTATAAGTCCAAGCCTGCTGATATTCCATTAGATGAGCAGGAAATAGGTTTTAATGACTTTATTAGGAACTTAGAAGTGCAAAAATTGTCAAATGAGGAACAAGCATCCCTTGAAGACGACCTGTCACTTGAAGGAAAAAAATGTCTTTCTTGCTTTCGAGGAAAATAAAACTCATGGTGAAGATGGTTTTAGCAAAGAGTTTTATGAGACTTTCTTTCATCTTTCAAAACAGGATTCAGTTGTATAATGAAGCTTTTCAGAGAGGTAGCCTCTAATGCAGATAAGAACAACGATGCCAACTTTTTTAGAAAGATTCGAAAAATGAAAACTTAACTGAACCTCTGGCAAACAAGAGACCTTATATGCTTTATGGTAAATCCCCTCTAGTCAAAAAATTAGGTGCCTCTCAATTAATCTACAGTGCATCACTGATGAGTGCTCCTTTTACAGTAATAAACACAGCTCAAAGCCTCTTCTTTTCTCTTTTGTGGAAAAACAGGAAAGATAAAATTAAGAGATAAGTTGTGTACTAGCCACTTAAAAAAAGGTGGCCTTAATTTTATAAACTTTGGTATTATGGTGAAATCTCTGCACTTAGCATGGATAGGTAAACTGCTTTAGCAGTTCCAATGACAACTGGAAGGTCACACCAAATTACTTTCTTGATACATATGGCAGCTTACCCTTCCTTCTTTAATATGATTATAATACTGCAAATCTTGACTGAAACATACTCTTATTTTATTGCAAATTGCTAGATTACTTCCAAGAACTAACTAAATATTCAGAAGAGGAAAATAAATAATGACCTCATTCTTTGGAATAATAGGAAAGTTACTCTTAAGAGCAGACTGCGTCTTCTGATTTTATTGCGAAAGAAATATTTGTACAACTGCAAAAGCATTACAAAGAAACCAAATTTAGATGAATTCATAAGCAAGATATTCAAACAGTACCTTATTGAAAATGGTGGCAAATCTTATTAAATATATGTGGCAACTGACAGGCTTTTACAGTGATGCATGCTTTTTCTTCTGTTTTCTTTTTGTGAACTATGTCTAATGGTTATAAAATACATTTGGTTACTATGGATTTTTTTATTGACTGTTGCAAATTAACATTTGCATGTTATTTTGTTTTGTTTCTAATAGAATTTTATTTATAAAAAAAAATTATACATGTGCTTTTTTGTCTTACATGCTCTCTAATTGACAGGTTGTGACAGATACATGTATAAAATGTTTCAAAGTTTGTTTGGAATCCTTTTAAATCACCTTATCACTACACCAATAAACATACTTTGGCAAATCCTCTCTCTTTAATTTGCAATACCTTTGTTCAACTACCATTTACTTACTTCAAAACTTACTCGTCAGAAAATCATTCGGCTCTTTTGGCTAGTATTTTGTTAAGTCTGAGAAGAAGATAAAATTGTTATTTATCAGCCAAGGTGGATCTGTATTGGGAAAAACAGTGTCCTCTGTCTTAAGTGCGGCCTAGGGCAGTACCCAGGACAGAGGTAGAAAGCACAGGGAAAGCTGGCTTACTCAGACATAAACCTTTACACCCTAACATCAGTATCCATATTCTCCACACTGTTCTTTATATATTTCCTAAGGTGCTGACAAGGAAAATTTCTTTGCCAATCAAAAGGTTCCTTCCCTGGTGATCATTTCCTTTATTCTTATGACTTTGATGTTTGATTCAGGATTGATATTGTAGGGAGAAATTAGATGCAAGTCATTTTGAGGGTTTAAAGGGTTACACTGTAAGGGGATGTCTCCTCAAGCAATTAAATCAGGTATAAAATCCTACCACTCTAGTAAAATATCACACAATTTCGAACAGGAGGGGTATATTTTCAAACCTGTGTAGAGAAGTTAGGATTACTGCTGTTTCCTTTCTGGCTTTACTCATCAAGATTTTACAGATAATATGTGTTGCATCTGAGGCCAATGCAATAGATAAATTATGAAATCCCTCACACAGTTTTTTGGTTGGTATTGTGAGAGTCTTTGGGTCTAATTTCAAGGCTTTTTAAATTTTTCAATATACTCCAATAATATGTTTAAAGAATACAAACTTGCATGAAAACCACATTGTGCCATGACTGGCTAAAGTCTCAGCATGCTCTACTTATTTCAAATTTTTCCTGACACTTTCCCCCATTTGGGACTTTCAAGTAAATTAATGGAGATGAATCACAAGATTTCTGTTCATTATGTTGGTTAGAGGGTTGTCATCCACCTACTTTTGGTACTTATTGTAGATTGTAGGTATGGTTTTTTTGGTCCTAAATTTTGCACAGATACAATTTTACATGTTTGGGTGACCACATGTCAAGGTATAGTTCAGTGTGCCAATAGATACACAAAAGTATCCAAGGGAGTCCTAGAAGGTTCTACAAGATAGTTTCCTGCAAAACTGTAATTTAGTCAGCAGTTTCACATTACAGACCATGGTTCAATTCCACTAGACACCAATTTCGATTTGGAGTTTATGGTGACTTGAACTTGCTGCAGCAGCACCTCTCGGTAGTTGCTGGTTGCAAGCAATCAAGGAAGATTACTTAAACCACAAGCCCTCCTCCATGTCAGCGAGTTTTTTTTGCCTTCCTCTTGGTATTTCATTAATTTCTTGCTCTTACACCCAACCCTCTGGCTCACAATCAAGGACTATTTTCCATTTAATCTCTACCCATTCACAGCCTACTTTTATATGCAAAGGTATATATATATATATATATATAAATTATTATATGCACCTGAAACTACAAGATATTTTCAGGATTGATATCAAGAACCATGATATTTTGCTGGCAAAAACATTGCAGGAATCATTTATGGTGACACGTGATAATTGGGTATTCACACTTTGGAGGGCTAAAGTCCTGACAGAAATTATTTTTTAGAAACTTGTTTTTGTAAATAGCTCCCATGGGTCTCAATATTAATTTCTACAAAATTATTTGTTGGAAACTGCAGTTAGAATAATAATGCTTAGCTCAAGCTGACAAAAGAATTTAGAAAAATTTGGTGTCCTTTTGAAGGTTCACTGAATTTCCTATGGCAGTCATTTGTTAATATTAAAGCACTATAATTATAATGGATTATAATCCAGGGACTGTTCTTGTATAATTTGCACAATCATAACATGTGTGAATTTCATTTGTATGTGCAAGGTTTGTGAAGAACATTTAAGTCACGTTAACAGTATTATCACTTTTGCACATTGTTTATACGTGTACATACCGTTCAGTTATCCTTGAAGTTTACTTGTGATTGTTTGATTGCTCTTAGTTCCAACATATATCACTGGAATTAGTGGTGAACCAACTGTTCTTCAAGGTGATAACTTACAGTTAACCTGCGAAGCTTCGGGTCGACCAGAACCAAACATTACTTGGACCAAAGAGGAGCCTGGGAACCAAGGAAATACTGTTGTGGTGCAAGAAGGAAAGTTGCTGACTATAACAGACATCAAAAGGACTGATGCAGGAAATTATACCTGTACAGCAGACAATGGCTTTGGTAAACTAGAGAGTCGAGCAGTTCATGTGATTGTTACTAGTGAGTATGCATTGAAGAAAACGTAGACAGTCAGCCCTCCTAAGTAAAGTTTTGGCTAAAGACTTTTTATGGCAAATAGGGTGGTGAGAATCAAAAGCAAGGTATCTGTCGGTGTGGGTGGGTTTACAGTAGACACTTGTCTCTAAATTACCCTGAACCCCTCTGGACACATTTAAATCAAGAAAGGGCAAATTTCTATCCTTTTCACGTTCAAGGGTGAATTGTATCGACGGCTCTACTGAATTCAAATGCGACAAGAGGCGCTCCGCTTCATTTCGGGATACCGCAGAAATAACATCATCGACATAATTATCGTTTCCAGAAAAAGGGTTTAACCGGTGAAGTGGCTATTTGCCATAAAAAGTCTGTAGCCAAAACTTTACTTAGGAGGGCTGACTCTCTACCATCATCACTCGATTCGAAGGCTGAGGAGAGGAAATATGTTTCCAATGTCCAAAAGGCAAATGGCTATACAAAAACTTTTCTCTGTAACTGCCAAAAACCAGTTACAAATAGTAACGCTCTTGATGAAAGGAAACCAGCGACTGGTTTTGCTGTTATTCCTTACATACAGGGTGTTACGGAACCCATCAAGAGAATTTTGAATAGCCACAATGTTAAAGTTGCTCAAAAACCTTTTCAGACTTTGGGGCATATTTTCGCCAAACCTAAGGATCCTGTCACGAAAGAACAACGAACCAACGCCATTTATTCTATTCCTTGCAATGACTGTGACAACGAATACATCGGACAGACCAAACGCCAGTTTGGTACACGGTTAAAAGAGCTCCAAAAAGCGGTTTTTCTTCGCAAAAAAGAAAATTCAGCTTTATCGGAGCATACTTGCCTAACCAACCATACAATTGGGTGGGATAATTCTAAAATTATCACCACTAATCGGCGTTACCACCAGCGCCTTTGTTTGGAGGCTTGGCACATTAGCTCCGCCCACGCTCCTTTAAATCGTGACGATGGCGGTCTGCTTCCTGACGCCTATTTACACCTTGTCAGAAAAAAGGCCGCTAATTAGTGATCGTATGAAAGGATTTCTTGTAGCAGCGTTTAGATCACCCCTGATGAAGGCACTAGACAGGAGTGTCGAAACGCTGGGTCTATGAATTGTAACTTCTTCGGTTACATTCATTAAATCTGCAAACCAGTGTAGCATCAAACTATGTCTGAAAATAGCAATTTTTTTTACATCTACAAATCTGAGTTTCACTTTGTCAAAATGGCAATTAAAGCTACTAACAAATCAGCAACAACTCATTATACAATTTTAATGAGCACTGTATCCATGCAGTGCACTAAGTGTCATTCTAACCGAATTATGTTGAATGAACTAAATTATTATTATTCTCAACAACTTAAAAGAGTTTTTACAAGAGAAAGTATCTCATTTGTTTTATGGTTTAGAAGTTTCAATTAATTGTAATATTTCATTATATGAATACTCCACTCAAACTGTCATTTGAAGCAAACTCTCATCAAAGATTGTAATGAGCACTATCACTTCACACAATTTCATGGATGTAAACAAACTTTATCCTCACCAAGTTGAATTTTTTTTCAACCCACAAAAGAGGACTGTCTGGCTATATCTACGTGTCTATCCCTTTGTAAGGTATATAGTTACATATTAGCAGTAATCTTAAATAATTGAATTTCATACTTAAAAAATTGCTAAATATATACTCTAACCTTGGTTATTACTGTGCTATTCCAAATAAAATCCATCACCCCTTAAGCATTTTCACAGTTATTAGAAATTTCTTTTCAAACTTAACCTTAGCTATTTTCAACTGTCTTTAACTCTACCAAACAAACACCTTGCACCCTTAGCTATGGAGGACATGTCACTCAGATGTATCTTTGTGTAGATGCTGTTGTTTGATCCAATTTTATGTACAGATCCAGCCAAGATTGTTAATTTTCAAACTGAGTATTTTGTTGTTGTACAACAAAGTGTTACTCTTAACTGTGAAGCAGATGGGAACCCTCCACCTACTTACACTTGGATTCCATGTGACCCAGAACAAGTTTGCAACAAGAAAACTCTTGATATTTCACAAGTGCTCAACGATGCCAGCTATACCTGCAGAGTGGCCAATGTACATGGACCTGATACAAAAACTGCCATTGTTTGTAAGTTTTACTGTAATTTCGATCTGCATATACAGCTGTAGCTTCATACTTAATTGTACCAACATGACATTTTGATTGGGTTCTAAGAGTTTGAACAAGGTACTTATCGAAAGGAATACCTGTATCAATAAACATTTTGAGAAAGTCTATTGGCATTATGCAAGATTTTTTAGCATTTTGTGAATTATTGGCATGCTTGGTTCCTATGATATAATAGGATTGTACTTGTGTAGAGAAAGATAGATTTTAGAGCCATTATCCCACTTCACAGACATTGCAGGAAAGGTGATTAACATAACCATTGTCATCACAAGTGAAAACTGCGTAGACGAAAAATACAATAAATCCTCATTACTGAGGAAATTGGAAGAGGAGGTAACAATATGTAATAATTAAAAATATTGCTTATACTCAGTTTATTATTTATCATCTATTTATTCATTAAATAACTGTGAATGTATGAAAGTCATACATGTGAACTGCAGATAAAGACATGAATATGAAGGCAATATTCGCAGTAATGAACACTACTTGTAATGAGCAGTAGTGAAAATAAAGCTTGAAGTAAATTCAGGCATCTACAGGATTTGAACCCATGACCTCTGCAATACTGGTGCGGATTATTCATCAGTTCATGGGTTTATTTGGAGCCAACGTAATGACCAGCTCCCAGTTGGCTTTTTAGCTCAGTTGGTAGAGCGCTGCACAGTTCATTACTGTTAAGATCACTTTCATATTCACGTATTTATTTACTGTTAGTTAGTTCAGGGTCAGAGACTGATGTGCTGACCGTATATTGATTGAAAGGAAATTTAGCCTATGGAGAATGTGTGAAGAATATATTTTTTAATTCTTTGCCAAATAACAGTTATAATGAAAACTAAGAATAAATTCTCAAACTATCGCCAGCCCGATCCGAGGGATAGTAAAATAGTATACCCGTCATGCTCGCAATTGGACAGTGTTTCTTATGTTTCTATACTGCATTCAGTCTCTTAGAGCTTTGTCAAACCTCGAGCTTAAAAGGCCTTGTCACAATCCTATTGTTCAGTGTTTGCTCATGCTTCGTATTTAGGGAAATAATTGGCTGGGTGCTTTTTTGGGGACCAAATAAAATACGAAGTATGTGACAACAAGAAGAACAACGGTCATATTCAATTAAATTATATTTAGTAAATTGTATTTAATGTCATCCTTATCTGTACTTATGAACATGTTCAAGCACAATACTTGTGTGATACATGTACACCACCAACATTTTTAGACAAATAGTTGAATTGTTTACTTACAGCTTAAAAGAGCATTTGCTGGTAGACTTGATTACGAAAGAGTGCAGTCAATGAGTGTTAGGTATGTAAATTAAGTTGCTCATGTTTCCAAATTTTCTTTACTTGTAATTTTTTTTTGCTTTTTTTGGCGTGTTTCATATTTCATGTCTGTGTAACCCACGGTTGTTGTCTGTTCCAAGGTGTGGAAGTATAATTGTTGACCTTGCACTGAAATTCAACTCCACTACGAAGGAACAAGATGTTATCATAACACTTAATGACGCCTTAAAAGATGGAAAGCTGGGAGAGTACAGTGTGGGTTCTATAAAAGGGAAAAGACCTAATATGGAACCAACAGGTGAAGATGCCACACCACCACCTAACGCGTCCTATGGGGGTAAGTCTTCATAACACTTAACATAAACGTTTTGCAAGTTGATTAATGAATGGCCTTGCCCTATACTTGGTGGAAGCATGAATTTTTTAGTCAACGCAGAATTGATACTGTAGCAGTTTTTTCCAGAGATCTGAAAGCTTAGTGTGTAATGATAAGATAACAATGCTAACAACAACCATAATGACAGTAACAGTTATAATCAAAACTAAAAGTAAATTCTCCAACTATCGCCAGCCCGATCTGAGCGATAGTAAAAGAGTATACCCACCATGATCGTAATTGGACAGTGTACTAGGAAAGTGTATGCGTAACCTCTTGCATAAACATAATTTGTATCCCTTACTTGTCCACCGCAGCCTTTAATTACAATCTCAGTGAAAAAAGGGTTCCTTTGTGAAAAACGAAACTCAATACAACTGAAGTTCGAGCAAATTGTTTGGCTTTAGAAGATACGCTCTCACTTACAAAAATTCATCTCCAGCTTCTCACGCTTTGTAGGTACTGTATGTATTACTGTTGGTGCAGTGTTTGGATCAGTTGCTGCACTGGCTGTTGCTGGAATATTAGTTTGGTGGACTTGCAGGAAAAAGAGGCGCAACACGAAAGGCACTGAAGGTAAGTGTTGCATACATGTTATGCTCTCAAATGAACGCTAGTTTTGGCATCCTTGAAATATATGTGTAATATTTTTTCCTTTTTTCTGAGACTTGGTAATAGCTTCAGTCCACTATCCACTGCATGATGATCTCTTCTCAAGCATCTTTGTTTTTAACAGACAACTTTTAAAATAGTGTGTTGTTAACTAATAATTAATGTTTTGTCATCTGATATACATTATTTACTGATTTACATTATTTACTTTATGACTCAACTTGATACACATCAAAGATGCTTTACTTTGCTTGAGCGAGATAAATTTTTTTTGATGTCAATTGTTCATCCATCATTTGCTTTCCTTTGCTTTTTATGTTTCTTTGTTTTGTTTTTCCGCCACAGAGGTTGCGATGGGCAGAAGGTGAGATTTTTGTATCCAAATGTTGCTGTTTACTTGCGTTGTTCCTTATGGTCCAATCTGTGTAACAGTTCAACACCCATACTGTTTTTCATGCGAATGTTCTGATTGATCCAATACTGATAGATCATGTAAGACACTCGCTTGCTAAAAAGCGCTCATGTGCAGGAGAGATATCGCTACAATGGTTGTAATGGTTGTCACATGCACAATAATTGATATCTTAATGATCCGTAAGAAAAAAAGAAACGAGAACAGTAATTACAAATTTACTTACCTTTTTGCTATCATGAAAGGGCGCTGGGTGTTACTTCAGGCCCAAGTAATAGTTTTCTACATGAAGGTGTTCCCTATTAGTAGAGCAATTTTCCCTTTGCGACCTCACTTTATTACGGGTGAATATAGGGTTATTATTATCATCATCAGTATTATTATTATTGTTACTATTGTTGCAGTTGCTATTGCTCCAAACATATTATTTTACATAGATAGGTCCATAGTGACAGTAACCGTAGTCTTTATGGTCGACAAATTTGTAAAGCCTTCACAAACAAATTTCAGTTAATCCCGCTCGTGACACCGTTATCGTTTGCCGTACATTTAGAAGGTTTCTACACAAAAAGTCTGATTTTTCCTCGGTCACAGGAGACCACTTTGTGTACATGATCTTTTTCCACTCTGCTCGTAGCTGGGGGAAATGAAACTTTCAATACTTGAACAGTGCTTTCAATGAGATTTGAAGTAGATGGCTACCTGGGTAAAGCACCGGCCGGAGAATAAAATGGGAAACAACTTCCCTCTCGTTCGCCCAGTAGTTCCCGGCATTCAGAATAAACTAGCTTCAAATGGAGTTTTTTGTGTTAAACTTCGGTAAAAAATCATTATATATTTGAATTTTCTTTGTAACAATTTTTGTAACTCATCATTTTACTTCTGATCAAAATCTTCCATTCGCTGAGATGCAAACCTGCTCCCTGAGTCTCACGCAAAAGTCCTCTGAAAGGACGGTAACTGTTTACTGAAATTTGAGTCAATATGTTCTTGGAAATTCTTAATCTTTTTTTTCTGGAAATTTCGTGTAAGATAAGACAATATCAAACTTGTTCATTAAGGTAAAACTTAACCTTTCAGTCTACTGCCTCCAAAAGCAGAATGCAGTTTGTTTGTTGTTTTTTTTTGTAGTCACAAGCCTTTTTTTTTTTGGGGGGGGGGGGGGGTTAAATCAAAGATACGCTGCAGTGAATTCCACGCGTTTTATTTATTGCAAAAAGCCTAGGATTTTTCTTGTCTGCGGAAGTGTTGATGCTTTCAGCCACTGATATTTACATAAGATAATTAAATTAGATTCAATCAGCCGATGAATTCTAGCTGATCGCACAGTTCGTTTTTCATATCAGATCATAGACAATTGTCAAGCCTCCGATTGCTTTACGAAAAATAACGAAAAGTCACTTACCTACTTATGTTCAGGCTAACCAGTAACCATAAGAACATAGTCTACCTCGCTTTTCAAAACAAATGCAGCCTTTTTTTTAACTAAAAGTTAGACGCTAAGTATTCAATAGCTGTTTTTGTTCCTTTCTTTGTAATTAAGCCTCGGGTAACCTTTTTTATGCAAACTTCTAAAAAACATTTACCAAAAATATGCCAAATTTGATTTATGTGTGTTATCAACTAGTACGCTATTTTGACAATTCTGATTCTCGAGTTTGTTTTCTAACTAGCAGTTGACAAGAATTGTTGTTGTTTTATTTGTCTAAAAATATTTCATGATTTTAGTTCACTACAAAGTTGACTGAAAATTATTTAAGTAAACGACGATGGGCACTTAGCGCTTGATGAATTTATGTCAAACATGCGAAACAAGGAGAAAAAGAAAACTGCCAGTCAAAGAATGCATTTAAAAATCAAAGAGCACAGAATTTGAAAAATAAATAAGGTGAATACTCTAATACTAAAGTGAATATCATTTTCTATGTTACTTATAAATTTTTTTGTTCTGAAAATTGGACTCGGGCGTGGCAAAGTGTCCGGCGATTCACAACAGTTCTTATCAAAAGCACTGCAGAATGTAGAGGATGCTAAACCCTCTCTGAAAATTCAGGGAAGTCCACTCAAAAAGGTCTGACTGTAGGCAAGCCTGCATCCGTTTTCCAGGTGCGATTCGAACCGGACTCTCTGGAAAGTTTTTCATTTATTATGGAATTTTCAGACTGAAGGGATTAATTTTGTTTTATAATATATTTGTGTTGTTGTTTCAGAACATTTGGAAATTCAAGTAATGAAAGAAGAGAAAGTACAAATGTAGGTCAAACGATAAAATCTTTTACCCTGTATAAATATATCTTCCTATGGTCTAAGGCGCTTTTTTTTTCTTAAGTTGCTGTCTTTACTGAGAGTCTTTTCATTGTGGTTGACAGTTTACCCAAACCCAGAAAGTTATGATCCATAAGGAATATAGGTCGATTATTCCTTGATACATTTAAATACGTCATTCAAGTAAATACTAGTGTATTTTATTAAATTGAAAACAATTTTTTTTCTAAGATTGCAGAAGAATTGCCTAAACCTTCTCAAAGCCATTACATGGCACTGGATGACAGAGCTCGTTCACAAGTGATAGCAGATGCCAGTCCACTCAGCAGTGAACAAATCAGCGAGTACGCTTCTCTTGATCCATACACACGCTCCTGTGAGATTCCTAGAGAACATGTGACGATAAAGCAGATCGTTGGAAAAGGTGCTTTTAGTCAGGTTGCCAAGGCAACAGCCGATAACCTACAAGGAAGAACCAAGAAGACGCTCGTAGCTGTTAAAATGTTATCAGGTACCAAGTAATACTGAAATCATGTTGTATTTAATAGTCTTTGGTCAGGCCTATTTTTTTCTACTTTCTGCTTTCTGTTTTCTGTCCATTTTTTTCTGTTTTTAGTTAGTTAAGATTTTTTATATAGATACCCCCCGTCAAATAATGATTACATTTCCGAGCCTCAGCGCTCTACGGTGATGAAGAAAAACCTGAAATATGATGTATGGTAGAAATGGATGATATCTGTCTATCTTCCTGTTTATCTACCTATCTGTCTATTTATCTATCTATCTTTCTATCTATCTATCTGTGTAGCTATCTATATATTAATCAATCAATCAATATTTATCTCTATCTTTCTATGTATCTATGTATCTATCCATGTATCTAATTAACTATTTATCTGTGTATCTAAATATTTATCTATATCTATCAGTCTATCTCCCTATTTGTTTCTTTCTAACTATTTATCTACCAATTTATCTATATCTATCTATCTATCTATCTATCTATCTATCTGTGTATCTGTCTATATATCTATGTCTGTCTGTATCTTTCTTTCCAGCTATCTCCCTTTTTATCTATTTATCTATTTAGCTGTCTATCTATCTATCTAACTATTCATCCTTCTAGCTATCTATCTACCTACCTACCTATCTACCTATCTATTTATCTATCTGTGTACGTTTACCTATGTAAATGGGACAGGTGAATGATATGTTTGTGATTTTATGTGAAATGTGATTTAAAGATTATCGATCGGAAATTATGTTGCAGAAAACGCTTCTGAATCAGAGAAAAAGAATTTGCTATCTGAACTTGAATTGATGAAACAACTTAAACCTCATCCTTATGTCATAAAACTCCTGGGATGCGTTACCAAATCTGGTAGGTACTGAAATGTTTATTATTAGCTTGAGACCCTATTTTTCTCACACCCAGGATTCCGCACATTGCTCGCAGTATAGGTTACACTAGGTTATCTTTTGGAAAATCCGTTGACCGACGCATAAAGCTTGGCCTCATTCTATTCTAGCGTGCACCTGTCAGGTCTGGATAGGGCTTCTCTGACAGCAGATAAATAGGCACAGTTTTATACTGTCTGCTAACTAGGACCGTGTGTATACTCAATAGCTGAGATCTAAGATCAGCAAAATTTGAAAATGGGTCATAAGCGAGTTCAGATTATACCTTTATGCGCAAGGTTTGCGCGCATATTGCGCAAATGAGCCGCTCAGAGATGACCTGCCATCAACAAAAGTTAAATGCGTGGCATCGACATCTTATCCTTTATAATTTATTTTCCGAGTTTAAAAATTTGTTTCCACCTTGCTTCTAATATAAAATTACAAGAATTTTAAATATTAACGAATTGTACGGTAGTAGACATATTATTTTCTTACATTCGTTGAATAAACGTCGCACTCTTCCAAGTGGCTGCGGCGATTATTGCAGGGCAATATTTATTGGCAATTCTGCTTACATGTGTGGCGTTTAATCAGTATTAGCGGTACCTTGTTTGTATTTCTAGAGCCACTGTTGGTGTTGATCGAATATGTTCCCTTTGGGGATCTGCTGGGTTACCTGAGAAAGAGTCGTGGATTAAATGATACTTACTACAAAGACCCGAATATCAAACCACAAACAAATCTTACTTCTCAGCAGCTGATGAAGTTTGCATGGCAAATCGCCGATGGAATGTCCTATTTGTCATCGATACCAGTGAGTGATGTGACTATTCTTTTAGTACTGCCGTTAGAGAATAAGGATGTTTTCCAAAAGAAACATCTTCGCTTTGTTGAAGGTTATCCACCGAGATCTTTCAGCTCGTAATGTGCTGGTTGGAGAAGGGAAAACTTGCAAAGTGACGGACTTTGGAATGGCTAGAGATGTGCAAGAGGACAACATTTACGAAAGAAAAACCAGGGTATGAATGATTTTAATAAAAGACATAATGTTCTTGTAAGCCTTGGCTTATGTGGCTGAACTTGCGTCACTGGAGTGAGTGCATTAAAAAATAAACAAGCTCATTAAATCCTGTTTAGTTTTCAAGAACCTTCGTGACACTGTTCTCGCCATTTGGAGCATTGGCACTTTTTACGCCAACTCCTTGCATTTTTCCTTCTTTTTCAGGGGCGTCTTCCTGTAAAATGGACTGCCATTGAGGCGTTGCTTTACGGAAAGTACTCTACCAAGAGTGATGTGTGAGTACAAGGAAGACATGGACACTGCATTTAGGCTTAACGAGTTTGTTTTGTATGAATTGTTTTCAGAACTGGGAAAAGTTATTGGGTCACTACTGTATTCTGATCTTTGAATTTTTTCGATGTGAGGTCATCTCAGGAAGGAGTGTTGATGATCATTTTCGTATCTCTTATTTCCTTAAACTCATCCCGTTTGTTTTACAGGTGGAGCTACGGAATTCTTCTCTATGAGATTTTCACAATTGGTAAGTTATTCCGGCTATTCAGGGGTATTCGGTTTTGGCCATCTGTTTCATAACTGCCAAGCTAGTTCAGATTGCCACAGTCGCTGGACTTGGCCGAAAGAACTAATGAACAATGATACAAAAATGAATTGTTATGTGGAAATATTTTTACATAAGTAAAGATTTTCATGTTAGAGTATGTTAAAAAATTAAAAATTACCTGCTGTAATTCAGGTGGTTCACCGTATCCACGAATGGATGGAAGAAAAATTGCAAACTTACTTCAAGAGGGATACAGAATGCCTAAACCACAACATTTGGATGATAAGTTGTATGTTAATATGGTGTTGCTGTTGTTGGTTTTTGGTTTTTCTTGTTTGTTTGTTTGTTTTTTCTTTTCGATGGCTTTTATCGTACATGGTATTTGTCCTGCTTTTGTCCGGGTTGCATATGCACCTCAAGATTTACCACTTTTACCTATTGAACCAGCCTAAAGAAGGGAAATGAAAGGAGAAAAAAAGCTAGTTCATCAAGAATAGGTTGAACCGTTTCTAGGCCACTTATGACAACTGAGGTATTCATAACATCCTTGTGTTTCAGGTACGAAATAATGAAAAAATGTTGGAGAGACGAACCTAACTTAAGACCATCTTTTGAGGAGTTGAGAAACAAACTCAGCGAGATGGAAAACCAGCACAAGGTAGAATTGAAGAGTTTCCAAAGAGACTCTCTCTCTCCCAATTTTTTTTCTTTTGAAAATTTGAACGTTTGAATCTATCGCCATCAAATTGACTCGATAACAGTGTCACCAAAAAGGCTTCGAAGCGTAGTTCATGGTTTCAATTTATTTCGCTTCTAGAGTAGTATTCAATTGAGTACCAAAAATAGTCCTAGATTGCTTTGATTTGTTTTCCTTGCTTTGCGATTGGTCTGGAAAATTTGCGCCATCATCTCAACTAATCAAATGCAGAATTACAACCACTCCCAACTTGGTCAGTCGCGTTTTCCCGCGCTTGAAACAGGTTGCCTGATTTTACTCCTAGTTCTCATTGGTTAATGATGATGTTAACCTTCGTTCTGATTGGTGGTTGTGATTACTCGAGGGCTCTGTATAGGGTTAAAAGGGTTAAAATATTAGAGCACCATCGAAAGTTAAGCAAAGTATATTATGATCAAAGTGGCACTTTTTCGTTATGTTTCCCTCGTTTCTTTTCTGTTTTTACAGGGGTTGATAAACTTAAAAAATTA